CCTACCAGAGGAACCGCATGCGGTTTGCTCAGGTAACCCGGGTCACCACAGAACCGGTTCCCTGTCATTATGCTGTTCTTCATCAGAAGGGTTCTTGTTTCCACAGAGGAACCTTCGCAGAGACAAGGATCGCAGGAATCTCACTCAGTTCAACATGCAGACGCTCCCGAAGAGCGCCAAGCAGAAAGAGAGGTGAGATCCGGAGAATCCGGGTTTAATGGATCATTTGCTGTTAAAAAGCTTTGATTACATCATCTTCATGCTCTGCAGGGACCGTATGCGCCTGCAGAAGAAGTTCCAGAAGCAGTTTGGCGTCCGTCAGAAGTGGGATCAAAAGTCTCAGGTAGTTATTTTACTGAAGCTAAAGAAACAAAAAAAAAAATTAAAAAAAAAGGCACATTTCAGTTCTGAAAACATCAGACTAAATAACATCAGTCGGATTAAACTATTAAACACTATGTCATTTGTAAAGTTGTTGTTCTGCAGCTGATTCTATATAACAATTACCTAATTCTCAGATTGGATCATTTTACGCATCACTAGAGGAAATAAGCACTTTGCTCTCCATTTATTTTGTAAATCATGACTAAATGTGAGATAAAAGGTGTAATTTTGTCTGGCCCCGATGAATGGGACGTCGGAAGATTGTTGATGAGAACAACGGCGTTGTTTTTCAAACCATGTCTGTGCCTATTGGCCGACGCTCTGACCAATGAGCGCAACTGACTGTGACGTAGGAAGAGCGACAGGAAGCTGGTGGGGGGGTGTAAACAAACAACCTGTAGGTAAAACGGAGAATACGTCCTTCTTAAAAGAATGAGCGTACATTCCGTAAAAGTTTAAAAAAACAATCCACTGGACTTGGTTTCAATTCAATTCAATTCAATTCAATTTTCAATTCAGTTTATTTATATAGCGCCAAATTCACAACACATGTCATCTCAAGGCACTTTACAGTTCAACCAGATCATCCAGTCAGATTGATACAGAGTTTTCTATCTAAGGAAAACCAGTTGATTGCATTGACTCATTGACTCAAATACAATCCCCCACAAGGTTTCCAAGGTTTGAAGACGTTTCGCTTCCTCTCCAGGAAGCTTTCTCAATTCAAATGTCTGGATCCGCAGTGAGTTGAGTCTTTATATAGACAAGGCCTTGTATCGCTTGGAAACATGCAAATAGAAACCGACGAGCGGTTTGTTTGGTTCCATTGTTAGCCTGTAA